CTAATATTTTTGTATATTAAAAATGACATAACTAAAAATCAAATATCACAATTTACAAATTTGCACTTTTGTACCCGTTGAAAATAAAAATAATTCTTCTAATTCATTTGAACAATAGTCTAGAATATTGCAGAGATATATGTGGGTATGCTAGGTTTTTTTATTCTTTCTCTTGTTCATAATGACTTCATAGCTATAGACCATTATATTAGGTTACAATGTAATTTAAATAACATCTTAAAATGGAGCTCTGAGAGTAATCACTAATCAATGATACATATTTTGAAAAAAGATAGATGTTTTATACTCTCTCTCCCGAAAATTAAAAATTGTTATACCCAACTATTGCCGGATGAAGTTCAGAATTAAATGTACTGATATGTTCAAATTATATATTATCCTACTTAACTGCAAGATTAGTTTTAATAATCGGATTGAAAATATGGTTTCTGCTTCATATGAGACATTAGGATTTGTAATAATCTGGTAATTAATGAAATAAATCGCTTATGATATTATTCGGATGCCTAGGAAGACCACACCTGAATGCTGAAGTTTAGCGTAGCCCCCCTATGTATCAAGTGCAAATATATATATCTGTAATTCACAAATTCAAACGATATACAAAGATGATTTGCGTAATATCTTAATACATATCTTGTATGTATCATTCATGCTAAATATTCACATACAGGCTTTTGAACAATGTTTCACTTCGTTAGCTGGACGTGTAGTTTCCTGTATTAAATTTATTTATCACTTTTTTTTAGTAACGACTTTGACTGTTTCTACTTATTTTTGAAATTTTGCTTAAAATACCAGTTAAAATTCGTCAAAAACCTAAAACATTTTCGCTAGAGACGCCAAGAATAAATAGAATTTTCGTCTTCAGATTACCGTCAATTGAAAGTTTGAATTGAACATGCAACGGTAAAAGACAAACTTTAAAATATCAATGGCCGTCTTTTATTGTGTTTTTATTGGCATTGCGGTACATACAACATGATAATTGTTGTTAAATTAATACTTTTATCGACCTGGAGCAAATAGCGTCTGTTGTAGCTTTTCTTTCTATCCAGGATCGGTGATAATTGTTAATATTAGGTGAAGTTTTGACAGATGAACCTTAGTGATCCGTACATATTTATCTACGTTTCATTTTTACATTCCATAATTCTATTGTCAAATTGTCTTGTAAATAGGCTAAGCTTCTAATAACAATAACAGCAGTTATTAACTTTTTTGTCGGAAATGAGATAGGTAAAAATCTCCTCTTCAATACAAATATATTTTTATTTAAAGACGTTCTGTAGATAGAGAAACATGGAGCATATTTAAAATTTCAAGAAAGTACTTAAGAAGGTCTTACGTTCTGAAAGTGTATTGAAAATCTCATAAGAGCTAAACGCAAAGATAGCAAAATATAATATATCGACTATATTTCCATTGTGCACTCTAATTTGATCACCCGTTGTGTATAATGGAATATAAAGAAGAAATCTTTTAAAATTTAAATGGGTATAAATTTACATAAACACTACTTGTGTAACATCTTTCAAGCGATTGATAGGAATTAGTTATTTGGTGGTGGTTTTTAAATTTAAGGGAATAATTAGTAAAAGACATTTTTTAATAATTGTTTTATTCTGTTTTCCGTTTTGACTACTCTTAAACATTTTATGTTGCTGTGCAATAGTACAGTGCAGATTTCCTGTAACAATCTTGTTATGTAGTTTATTAGTATTTAATTCCTTTTTTATTTTTTGAAGTTCTTGTACGGACTTCGCATTATTTTTCATTAAAGTATAAATATCACTTGCATGTTGGTGGTAAATGACATTCCCATCTGTTTCTCCTACAATTTTAATTAGTTTCCAGTGTCTCTAAGGAAGTGCGTGGAAAATATGTCGCGTTGATCATTCCACGGGGTATGAACTTCCACGAATCATTACAGATGTATGTTTTTGTGACCACAGAAACATGGTATTTCTACGTAGAAAATTGTGTTCATCATCGTTGCTGTACGAGTTACAGCAAACCTACGTTAACACAAACAAATAGTTTATTTTTGTGTAAGTTTATTTCGTGGAACATGTCGAACCTTGTTTTAAATAGCAAATAATTTCGGTAACAAAAAATTTCAGCCTGTTGGATGACATACAAGACGTTTATATTGAACCTGCACTTAACAGCGTCTCGTGGTCGTTGTTCTCAGAGTTTGCACAAAAAGATGTCGGTAAAGAGTCAAAGTAGACGGGAGAGTGAAGAACTACTTTTTCCTCAGGAGCAACCGTTTACCGAGTCAACTCAACTTGGACATAATATTACATAATGATTTCGTCGAAGCGTATATTGTTTTCTTAATGTTTAAACCGCCATAAAATTATATTTTTATCGGATAAATTCTGAAGCACCGTCGGGCCAACAGCCGAACGTCGAAATATCGTTAAACAGAAGATTTAATTAAGAGCCTGGCGATTTTCTCACAACTTTGCATTTCAACATTGCGAATCTGGTTCACAGATTGACGCTTTGTGGAGTGCTGTTGTAATTAAATTATTTTTAAACATGGCAGGATTATCTGGCAATTAACCACTTCCGTCGCCACATTAGAAAAATACCGAAAGTGCATCAGCATTCGGCCTAATCTAAATTGCGCATTCTCAGAAAACCGACGGCTCAATGAACAAAGAAACGGTTTAATTACAGTGAAACGCACACTGGCGGTTGACAAGAATCGCGCTGAAAAAAGAGGAAAAACTGTCGGTATTCAACAATGAAACGGTGAACCGTAAAGGACTATAATTTCCTAACAAGAGTATTTACAAAAGTCGGACTTATTTGAGGAGACATGCCTAGCGACAACCTTTACGACCTCTCACTACATAAAGTCAAACAATTAGGAAATGAAAAGCTAACAAGCCTGCATGAGATACATACGAAAAACGTTCCCACAGCCCTTTGCAGTTTGAAGTTTCAGTATCACACCCTATTGTAATAGTTCTTCCATTATAGATATAGAATCAAATTAATAGTCTCATTTGGTCTCATTGATTAGCCACTTGGCGTTAGCGCGATCACACCCTTCTCAAACTTTGTCAATATTTATCTTTCTGCGTGTTACTCCTGCAAATGCCAGAATATAATTCCTGCAAGCAGGATGATAAAATGCGATACTTCCAGAAGATGTTACTAAAGTATAGATGTTAAGTTTATATTCAGCATCATAAAAATCTTCGTGTTGGCACGTTAGTGGATGATTAATACTTCGTATTTTGAGATTTAAATAGAATTGTTGGAAGTGGACAATTACAAAAGACAAGGTTAACAATTGACCTGATATTATTTTACAGGTTTTAACTTTTCTAGTTCTTTGTTGTTTTAGAATTACTGGTCGTATATTATTACATATTGTGTTAATTAATCGTCGGTGTTGTTGCATTAAACGACACCAACGAAGCCGAACCAACTTTTTTCATTATATTAACCATTCTGGGAAAATTACCTCACTTACAGTAACAAATACTTTCGCATCAAGCATACAATAAAATAAAATAAAAATAAAGTTAAAATATTTTTTTTATAAATAATATAACTGTTATGACGTAATTAGTGAAGTATTTTTTCTGTACAAGTCTTTCCTTTTCAAGTTAAAAACATTGCAATATTTAGTGTAAAATACGCGATGTGATCTTTTTGTTGTTTAGTTAACTACATTGTTACGTATAGAATAATGTATAAAAAAACTTATGAGAAATTACTACAATTTAATTTCAAATTGGTTTTAATATAACAATCCAATTGAACCTTTAAGATATAATAAATCTCTTTTCATTAACTGTTAATACTTTAGATACAACTTTTTTAATATAAATTGTTATTTATTACTTGTCTTGTATTATACACAAGTTCCAGACCAATTAATACTCTCTTAAGACGCACATCCTGAATAGGTCTACAATTGGCCGCTGCTTACATTGATAGTATTTGTAACTACTTTATTCTAAATTTCTTACAAATTTCCGTTCATAGTTTTGAAATGTGATTCCTTATGTAACTTTACGTTACATCAGGTCATCAGGACAAAAAATCAAATAAAATAATGGAACCAAATATAAGTTAGTATTCATTATTTATTTCAGAAAAATGTTTAGAAGTCAATTTCCAGTTGGATTTGCGATATCGCAAGTTTCATAGCAACGTGGATTTGCGATATCGAAAATCCAACTTGAAATTGGTCCGTGAGCACAAATTAATTTTCAGTACAACAGTGTCTGAAAGCTTCATAATGAGCTTTGGTTGTGTTTGAGTTCATAATTCTAGGAAGTGACTTTATAACCCAAGCCACTGCTATAGCAATTATACGTTCGCGGAGAATAATTACCAATTTATCTAATAGCTTAAACTTCTGTGTGCCGAAATCATTTTAAATCTAAGGAAACAAAATGTAGATTAATACGATTTTCATTCCAAGACGACAAATTTCCTCTATGGTTTTGGTTTTTTGATTCTCGAGTCTGTAATACACCTAAAACAGGGATGGTTACGATTGTTGCTGTGGTTAGAAAAACTAAAGTGACGTTATACTGCTGAAGTGAAAGTATTCGGTAATGAGAAATATTATTCATGTTTTTACCTCAGCGTTGTTATTTCCTGTTTCGGTTTTACGTCGTACAATAGAAAAAACGAGCGCATCAATGAGAATTAATGGGTGTTTTATCTCAGTTAAATGCACTAAAAATTTCTTGCACCATTTGTATAAAAAATAAGTTCTACAATAGACGAGTACAAAATTTAGGATTTTCATAAAATTATACATGAAGAAAATGCAAAACGTGTTTTATTTACAAATAATATTGAAATAACATCGTATTAATCATACTGTACGTGATTAATTGCATTGGAAAAATCAACCGTATAGATCTTACACCTAGTTTATACATCCACATGATTAGGGAGATATATCGAAGTGATTAATTTGAGGATGTTTTTTGTTTTAGGTACAAAGATGGCAAACCTTATCCATGGCCTTTAATGGTATCACAGTTAATCCTGTATCCTGAAAGTGCCAATCAAACGGTATATACGCAATCCGTTACGGAAGCGGACGCTGGGAATTACACTTGTGTTCTGAAGAATGATTCCATAGCTCATTCTCATACAATTCAACTAAAAGTCTTCGGTAAGTAAAAAATACTGGCAAATAACTTCTAGGTGTTGTACCACTTTAACCGGATGTGTGTAGGAAATGTGTGTGTGTGCACACAAGACACACGAGGTTATTGTCTGGCGATTTTATTACATGCTAAATAAATAGATTTACACGTTAATTTATGCTGTTGTAATAATGTAAAATACCATTAATTTTAGTTTAGGTGTAATATAACGGGTCATAATAAATGTTGCAGTTACTGTGTCGTTGCACCTGCTGTGCAAATAGGCGTATTTGAATAAACAATACGTTTATTTGGTCCATTCGTGTATGAATAGTTCATAATTTGAATTTTATGAATGGTAGGAGTTACAAGTGGTTAGAATAATTGTACGGATTGCAAAATATCGTATTAATTCTGTTAGCGTGTTTTCATTATGGAAACAAAGCTATATTTTTAAATAACATACATGTCTTTTGAACTCAAGAGATAGTCAAAGGAAATTTCCTCGTTAGGTATTCAACTAAAATACATATAACTTTACACCGGAGTACTTCTCGTGTGTTAAATATCGTAAGTTAAAGTTGCATCTATGTTAAACACATCTCAGTAAAATGCAATTGAAATTTTTCTTTCTTCTAAAATCTAAAGTGTATGTTATAAATTTACTAAAAAAATCGGTTGTCTGTAAAGTTGGTTTACTGACGATAGTTGAACGTGACAACGTCTTAAGAAAATACTGATGGAATGGTAGCATTTTTCAAAAGAAAATTTTAATTGCTGTCCACGCAGACGCATCGCTCACTCAAGTAGGAGAGAGACGGATGGCGAACGCTGCCGAACGCGAAGGCCGATTGTGCCTCTTTGTCGCTCGTTCCGCGTTCTCGCTTGCACTTCAAGCCTTACATGGAACGCCTCAGAGCGAGGTAACGCAACGCCTCAGAGCGAGGTAACGCCGCATGAGTCATGTTTTTTCGTGCGTGCAGCCGGCTCAATCGAATTATAAGACGTTGTCACGTCAAAAACATTTTAAGGGACGTTATTATTTGGAATATATTTTGTTCATGAATATCATGGATATTGGAAATATCTCGCCTCTTTAACTATGTTACACTAATTAACAAATATTTAATAACTAGTGCTTAATGAAATGATTGCTAATGGTAATGGGGTTGATGTGACCACAGAATGTTATATTTATCATAAAGGCATGTTTACATATGATAATGAACTTTTGAGCGTTTTAGAGGCAACCACAAGCGTAAAAATATAGCTGCTGTTTTTAAAGGTTATCACATTTGACATTACAATTCATCTACTTTCATAATGCGGCATTTGTGATATTGAAATTGGTAATAGAAAAATATTTCGGCTTACTGCAACAGCTAATTCCGGACCTCGGTTAAGGTTGCTAAAGATTTAAATTCGAAAATAGCTCAAAAATGTCATGTTGAATTGAATTTCGGAGTGAACTTCGTTGCAATTTTTTTGTTCTTTTTACTTTCATTGTAAGTTAGAATTACCTTAAAGCTATTCCACGACTTTTTGACGTGACAACGTCTTATAATTTGATTGAGCCGGCTGCACGCACGAAAAAACATGACTCATGCGGCGTTACCTCGCTCTGAGGCGTTGCGTTACCTCGCTCTGAGGCGTTCCATGTAAGGCTTGAAGTGCAAGCGAGAACGCGGAACGAGCGACAAAGAGGCACAATCGGCCTTCGCGTTCGGCAGCGTTCGCCATCCGTCTCTCTCCTACTTGAGTGAGCGATGCGTCTGCGTGGACAGCAATTAAAATTTTCTTTTGAAAAATGCTACCATTCCATCAGTATTTTCTTAAGACGTTGTCACGTTCAACTATCGTCAGTAAACCGACTTTACAGACAACCGCTTTTTTTTGTTCTGCTTGAATATTAAACAATTGTACAATTGCGCAGCAAACGTAAAATTGTTTACATTAATAAGAAACTCCTTCAGTTAGCTGACATTTTTTGATAACAGAATAACTGATTCTAAAAAATAAAACCATGCAACTAGCACATATATCTACAGACCATATACACGACTCATACTATAAAGGTGCTAGTGATTGCAATGATTGTGATTGGTTTGTTTATCATCTGGCTTGCACATAAGTACATATACATCAAAATTTTGAAACTGCATTTATGTTATATCAATTAATTATGTGTGAGTTTTTTTCTCTTTAAATAAGAATTTTCCATTACAATTTGATTTTAGTAACAAATAAATTAGTAAATTTTTAAATCTTACAAAATCCTAATGTTTTAAATTTTTTCACGCTCTATTCATGTTTTTATTATTTATTTGTAACAAGATTCGCATATTCATTTAGCGTAATTGTACTGAATTCAGAAACCAAGACCTCTGTTTATTTTTCTCAAAGCTTGAAAATGTTCGAACTTTGTTTCAGCTTCATAATTTCTCGTCCAAAAAGAGAAACACTGTCAGTCAGAACCACCACTGTTGGCGTTTGCGTTTTAAATTACAGCCATATTTCCCATGATATTATATGCAACGGCCGTGTAATTTTGCACGCCTGTCGATTTTGAATGTCTCATGTGTAAAGAGTTCCAGGAACGCTCAACCAGTGTTTCGGATCCGTCACACTTGCTGTATGAGCTTTGTTGTGATACCTGCATTGACGTATTTAGTTACGTACATACATTATGCATTATTTTTGCTCAAAATTGCCAATTATGTACTTGTAAAATGAAAGGCATTTCTATTGTGTTCGAGTGAATGTGTGCGTCTGTTATTATTCCGCTGTAGCGCGCAAGGGAAGATCTGCTTTCGACATGCAAGCCACTGACGGTTTTTTATTAACAAATGTTGTATATATTATGCTAAACCTATGCAAGAGTTGTAATTTTTTTGTATGTACATATTTTCGAGTTCGAGTACCGGCTAGGACGGAAATGTCACGCTGAAGTAGCTATGGTTCAACGCACTATAGAAGAAACCATAAGAAAAAGTAAATTAGTGTTGTTATTACGTGTACATACGCAACATTTTTAACATAATGAACTATGGAAAAATCTCTACTTATTTGTTGATGGTCTTGTGTCACTAAAACGTGTGTCGGCATTTACTTCGACACGACATTTAAAAAGAAAAGTGAGGTTATAATGAAGTGACGTGCACAAATAACAGAACGAAACCGGAAATCCAAACGACGGATGTGACATACGTTCATTAAGAAGTTAAAAAAAAAAAGATTGTGTTGCAAAGTATGGAGTACATATACCGAAAATTTTTTAACTGAACATATGAAAGTAAGTGTAAACTTAATCCCTATGTTCAGGTAAGAAAAACGCATAAATGCATTGGAAGTACGTAACAAATGTTACGTCAGAAATCCGCACTTGATTTTATAGAACAGGAAATTCCAAAGTAGTTGGAATGAAGTTAATGATTTCTATGGGTTTTCTATGCATAGCGTAAGACATTTAGCTTTTGTTCTTCATTTAAAACATCATTTGATCTATTTCGTTTTACTACAATAATACAAACAAGTTAACATTTAGTTTTTGTAATGAAGGAGGCTGGATATGACATTGCTTGCACACTTCCAATGCATTGATGTGTGTTAAAACTGAACACAGGGATTAAGTCCACATTTACTTTTATGTGTTCAGTTTTAAAAAACTGTTCCGGTATATATTTGTAGTGATCTGTGAAGAAAAAAAAATTGAACAAAATTACACGAAAAATGGGCACACCAGTAAACTAACATGGTGGTAGTTAAATCGATAGCTACATAAGATCAGTTGATAGACCACTTTTTTTTAATCGGTGATCATAGGGTGTCTACTTAATATTTTTTTCTTATTATTACTTCCCGAGCGTAAACTAAGGAAGCATAGTAATTTTTTGTTAAATTTTATTTATTTTTAATATTAGTTGCTAAAACTATCTTCGGAAACATTTTCCGCAAGTGTTTCGGCATCATTTTTTTCGACATTGTCTTTCTTGATTAAAAAAGGGTTTAAATGTTCTTACATTTCTACTAGCACATTATTGGGAACGTCATTAACAAATTACAACAGGAAGGATGCCAGATAGTGATGGAAATTTACTTGAATTTTCTTGTGACAATGTAATTAAAACAGAAACACACATTCTCTGTCTAATGTTGCAGTTGCTTTGCTTTCAAGTATAGATATTTGTGCACTTAATTCTTCTGTAGCGCAAATACGATAATAATAACAAATGCGTTTACGGTAATACTACTGGCAGGTGATCGATGATCACATACCATATTGTATGTCCTTCTAGAGGACTTGTGAAACGCAACAATAGATCGTTAAATTGTGGCGTTGTAGATCATATCGTATTGCCGTTGTTAAAAATCGTTGTCATATTGCAATTAAGGAAGATACATCGAAATTAAGCAAATTTTGTACGAGTAAACTAAATTCGTGAAATTTGTTTACTTACTCTTTTACTTTGTTTTACTTAAAAAATTAAAACTTTGTTACTTAAGATCACATCGTAGCACAGGCAATTTTGTTATTGTTATTTACAGCAGCATAGTAACAATACACTATAAATATGACATACATGAGTCATAGCACATTGAGGTTCTGTGCAGGTTTTTATAATAAATTGTCTTATATCATAAACAATAAATATTAAAATTTGTATTATAATTATTAAGACAAGCAATAAAGTCCAACCTACAGTATTATTGATAATTATTTTCTACTTTTAAAACACCCACCACAATTAAGTGCTCTATACTTTCGGAACCATTTCTGGCGTGTAAGGAACACTACGCGTACTTGAAAATTTGTATTTATTTTAGAGATATAGAAGTTATTATTTAAGTTAAAATTAAGTGATTGTCATTTAAATCTGCCAAACATTCGTCAGTGGAATACAGTAGGGACAAAATGTTGCTCTGTAACGTTACAGTAAAATTATTTTCCCCTTACCTAAAGTATATTGCTAAACCCGGAATGTAAACACCACATTCATCGTCCAACATGATTTTAATCAACAGAGTT